AAATTTCAAAAAAAGATATAAAACTGCAATATTACAGTCGACCCCCCCTATAACCCTGTTGATTTTTCTGTTTCATATGAATTCCATGTTGTTCGAGTCACTTAGATTTTACAAATACTTGTGCTTAACTGTGAACGGCTCACGTATTTGTAAAATCTAAGTGACTGTGTACAACATGGAATTCATATAAAACAGAAAAATCAACAGTGTTATAGGGGGGTTGACTGTACTGATAAATTATTTATCACTGATTAATTTCTAAATTAAGTATATAAGTCTTGTAAACATTGATAATATAATATTATAGCTTATCTTATTATGATTGGTTGAGTAACTATTAGAATGAAAATTATATGTTGAAATTATATGTCAGTGGTCTGATTGATGATATTTGAGATTATATCTGCAATATATCTCTGGATTGGATGAATCCAAAATTTTGAAACTGCAGGGTTATTTCTATGTATGGAGCATTTATACTAATAAATTTTGATGGNTAATTAAGAAAATATTTTTGGAAAATTTACTAGCATTTCAAACTAAATCTTCTATCATAAGCTGGAATTTTTATTAAAAAAAAAAAAAAAAATCTTTTCATACATTTCCAGCACTTCTTTATAGTACTAACAAATGTTTTCGGCTTGATTTACAGGCCTTCTTTGGTTAGAAGCCTTCTAATTGGAATGGATTCTAACCTGAAGAAGATCTGTAAATCAAGCAGAAAACATTCATTAGAACTATAAAGAAGTGCTGGAAACGTATGAAAAGATGTGGTTTCTTTTTTTTTTACTTTGGGTGGTGCCAGAGCCTCTTGTCCCCCTCTGGGTGCACCACTGTAAAGTGATATCAGATAAGAAGCTTTTAATAAGGACTTATCTTAAATAGTCACTTTTGCTAATGAACTTATTTGCTTTTATTTTTATGTATCCTTTGAAAATATTAAATTGGCTTTTTATCTTAAATCTGTGATTTTTGACTGCAAGTGTCTGTCGAGTTTCAAAGTTATCATGTCATCATTGGATAAACTTTGAATGAACACATAACACAAAGTGGCCATGGATCTAGCTTATTTCCAGTTCTTAAATAAAACCAAATTTCATCGTATTTTCTTGAAACTTTCAACTTTTTCTTCTCTGCCTCAAGTTCTAATTTTCTTCCTGTTATTGTCTGGCAGGTGCTATGGAGGGTCTGATTCATTGATCAACTCATAATTATGCAAAATGTTTGGTTGTTTTTTCTCACTCATTGGAAATTTTTTTTTTATTTGAATCTAAAACCAAACAAGAAATGACTTTTATCAAACTCAATGTCTTTGATGCCATTAAATAGCACTTTGCACAGTTAAAGTAAAAATATCACTGATTACTTACATAACAAAAATATCATATTAAAAACAGTGTCGAAAGGTTATCTTATTCCAGATTTTAAAAACTCCACAACTGATTAATAGTATACTGATTAATAATATAATATAATATAATACTACCATCATAGCAACTGATTAATAATATAGACCAGCGTTTCTCAAAGTGGGCAATAACGCCCCCTTGTGGGCAATGAGTAAATCTAGGGGCACTGGAGGCAGGGTATTGAATGGTGACCAAAGGCAAAATTGGGGTCACTGAAAGCCGTTCCCTTTCCTCTGTTAAACTGATAAGAGGAAACATTGTGTTTAATGGTTTCCAGATGTTGAGAACAATGTACGGTAAGGTCACAGAGTGTGAGATTCATAGAAAAGTTTTCTAAGAATATTTCCAATCCTTTCTCACAGAAGAAGGGAAAATGGGTTAGGGGCATTGGGTATAACTTTATGGAACAAAGGGAGCAGTGGATCGAAAAAGTTTGGGAATCACTGATATACAGTAGACCCCCCTATAATTACGGTTCCTATAATTACGATTCCTATAAAACTGCGAAAAAATTGCGGCGGTATCCGTAAAAAAACGGTAAAAAAACTCCTATAATTACATAAAACGTCATTGGGCAGCCGAACTACTTTCCCGCCGTCCGTAGTGCCACGCTACGGACATTTAGGCGGGTAAATTGAGTTTAGTTTCGTCTGTACAGTACATATAATTATATATAAATTAGGTACTGTACATATAATTATATATTAATTATACATAAATTAGGTACTGTATATATAATTATATATTAACTTAATTTATTTTAACTTTATTATAATTATATATATACTTTCCGCGTCTAGCGCCACGCTACAGAAAGTTTAGGCGAGTAAGTTGTTTACTATCGTCTGTAAAGTATGTAAATTAGGTACCGTAAGTCTATTACAGTACTATAATTTTATACATTTCTTGTGAAAGAAACATTTCTTATTCAACGGCCATAAAAATTATTTATATTAATGATGTCTCCAAAGTTCAACGAAGTTTTCGCAGAAAAATAACTTNCATACATAGAAATAACCCTGCAGTTTCAAAATTTTGGATTCATCCAATCCAGAGATATATTGCAGATATAATCTCAAATATCATCAATCAGACCACTGACATATAATTTCAACATATAATTTTCATTCTAATAGTTACTCAACCAATCATAATAAGATAAGCTATAATATTATATTATCAATGTTTACAAGACTTATATACTTAATTTAGAAATTAATCAGTGATAAATAATTTATCAGTACAGTCAACCCCCCTATAACACTGTTGATTTTTCTGTTTTATATGAATTCCATGTTGTACCAGTCACTTAGATTTTACAAATACGTGAGCCGTTCACAGTTAAGCACAAGTATTTGTAAAATCTAAGTGACTCGAACTTTTAGATCAGGGTTTTAATTTACACAATTAAAACCCTGATCTAAAAGTTGTTCATATTCATTTACCTTTGCTCTGTAATTGCTTTAAAATAGTTCTGGAAGACTTAAATTATGTTTATTAAATTTATACATTTTTCTTCAATTTATGATAGCATGAAACTCCAAATTTCAAAAAAAGATATAAAACTGCAATATTACAGTCGACCCCCCCTATAACCCTGTTGATTTTTCTGTTTCATATGAATTCCATGTTGTTCGAGTCACTTAGATTTTACAAATACTTGTGCTTAACTGTGAACGGCTCACGTATTTGTAAAATCTAAGTGACTGTGTACAACATGGAATTCATATAAAACAGAAAAATCAACAGTGTTATAGGGGGGTTGACTGTACTGATAAATTATTTATCACTGATTAATTTCTAAATTAAGTATATAAGTCTTGTAAACATTGATAATATAATATTATAGCTTATCTTATTATGATTGGTTGAGTAACTATTAGAATGAAAATTATATGTTGAAATTATATGTCAGTGGTCTGATTGATGATATTTGAGATTATATCTGCAATATATCTCTGGATTGGATGAATCCAAAATTTTGAAACTGCAGGGTTATTTCTATGTATGGAGCATTTATACTAATAAATTTTGATAGTTAAAGATCAAGGAGTGAGGAGTTGTGTCATAACTCTAGTGGGGTTGGACTTAATGCAAATTTTACTCATTATTTGCATTTACAGTTTTTTTTAAACTTGTCTCTGTTCTCAAAATTAAACTTTTTGCCTTTTTAATAACATTAGTTTACATCCATTTTGCAACTGCAGGGAAAAAGGTGTTTTTCTCTTAATTCCTTCCTATGCACTGAACACAAAAATAAAGTTAAAAATTTCCTGGCACATAAGGTTTTAGTTGTGATTTTATGGAATTTAAAAATATTTGATGCAGAGACTTAATGTTAAAATACAGATATGTGGAGACTTAAAAGTTGTAGGACAGCTACTTGGACTTCAGGGTGGTTTTACCCAAATATTGTTTGTTTGTCTTTGGGATAATAGAGCAACACAAAATCATTTTAAAATAAAAGAATGACCTCAAGGAGATGAATTTGTTCCAGGTCAAGCAAGCTAACATAAAGAATATACCTCTAGTTGATCCCAAAAAATCTTGTTATTCCCACTGCATATAAAACTTCAATTAATGAAAGCCTTTGTCAAAGCACTGGATAAAGAATGCACTGCTCTAAAATTCCTTAAATAGATTATTGCAAAACTAGTGATGTTAAGCTTAAAAGAAGGAACACTTGTTGGACCTCAGATCAGAAAATTACTACAGGATGTACAATTTGATCAAAAACTGAATGATATTGAACTAAGTGCATGGATGTCTTTTAAAGTAGTTGTAACAGTTTTTGGACAACAGAAAAATACAGAAAAATCGTAGGAAAATTACAATAAAATGAGTTGTATAATGTACCTTAAACTACATTTTTATACTTTTACGTTTAAATTTTTTCTTCAAAAATTTGTCATCAGTGATCAGCAGGGGATAAGTTTCACCAGGATATCCTAACAATGGAACAATGGTATCAAGGCAGGTGAGATCCTGGAACAATGGGAGATTATTGTTGGTTCCTTATGAGAGAAAGTGATATGGAATATAAATGAAAATCAGCATTTGCAAGAAAGTTATTGACAGCAGATTTGTAAAAAATGTAATTTCATATATATTTTTGTAAATAAAGCAATTTCTCAGTTTGATAAAAGTTGATTTTCTCTCCTATTTTTACCTATATCTATAATAAGTAAAAATTTTTGAGATAAAATAAAAATTATATTCTAGAACTAAAAAATATATATGTGCTGGAAAATTATGCTTACCATATTCATAAAAATGATGCTTTATAGACCCTATATACCCACTATAATATCAGTCACCTAAATTGTTTTTATTTGTTGAGTGGTGTAATTATTAATATAAAAATTGTTATTTAAAAAGAAATTCATAACAGATAGCACCACACAATTTTAACATTGTGCTAGTGTGTTTGTGTTATTTAAACTCGTTTTAATAGAGAAATTTCTCATAATTCAACAAAATTACTTCTCTTTAGCTTTCATTGTTATTTAAATTTTATATTATAGCATAATTGAAAATTATTGTACTTCCTGACTGTGTTCCCTTAACCTACAGTTTACATTTATTTTATAGGGTCACATCAAACTTTCTGATTTTGGATTATGTACAGGTCTGAAGAAATCACATAGGACGGAATTTTATCGTGATCTATCTCAAGCAAAACCTAGTGATTTTAGTATGTTATTTAATTTATATCTTTAATTTACTTGTTAACAATTTATATTTATAAACAAATATTTATTCAAAAACAAGTATTTAAAGAAAACAATAACTATTTAAGTTTCCAAAAAAAATTACTTCCAGTGAAGAGTTTTTATTTTGAGATATAACCAAAACCAGTTTTATACTGATATATATTATCAGAATGTTGCAGATATATTAATATTGATAACTTTTACAAACCAATGCTCTGATTTTTCTTTCATTTTTTGATGGTGAATATCAGAAAAACAAAAAATAAAAAAAATGAGTATAGCTGAAGTTTCTTACCTCTAATGAATGAATTATCTCAAACTACCAATGGGTGGAGATATACAAGGCTTATCAAGCTATATTGGAGCATTAGAATATTGAGATCACATCAAAAAAAGACTAATTTTATATGTGGGATGCATTTTGGTCTTCACTAGATCCTCTTTAGCCATTATTAAATAACCACTATTAATATCTACAACAATTGCAAAAACTTTATACAGGAAATCTTTATTAGTTTGAAATTCAAGGAACAAAATAATTGCGACTTCAAATTTTCAAAGTTTGAATTATCTGAGATTTACATATTTCTGTACAATATGCCAAATGCCGTGTAACTGATGTAATTTATTAAGCAAATGAAATACAGCTATGTATACAGAATGCTAGTTTTGCTAATTAATAACAATATAAATAAACTGTCAGTAAACAGCACGTGTCCAGTAAAAATGTTATAGGTTGCCAGATAGGTTTTATAAAAAGTAAGAGAATTCCTGAAATTGTAGTTCAAATTATTTTTAAATTAACCCAAAAAGTAGCAAGTTGCTCAAATCTAGTAGCCTAGAGCCCTACAAATATATGTCTGCTATTTGTAGCCTATTGCCATATTTTATGAGTTAACAGAGGAAAGGGTATTCCATGGTGAAATCTAAAATTATATTACTGAAGCCATGTTGACCATAATAGAGTTCTTCTTACTCTATTGTTCTCTTATAATATGAAGGTACAAAAACTTCCATCTAAATGAATGAGTTAACATACATACTGTATCATTGTTGGACAGAATTTTCACTTCAGATTTCGAGGTAGTTGTGTTTCGAACTAACAGAATTCTTTAACATGTAAATCTCTATATTCCCAGCTGGGACAAATTAATTAATGGGATTTCAAACAATCCAAGTTTGAACTAACAAGGATTTCCTGTATTTAACATTAATCTTTAACTTAATATGTAAAAAATTTACAAAATAATAAACAAACCCGCATTATTTAGCTTAATTACTAAAGGTTACATGGCATGTACTGCTAACTGTGTACAGCCATCTGGTTACAAAATGGCTGTACAGACAGTTTGTAATGCACTTTTTATCAGCCTGGAACTAAACCTAACAAAATAGTGTTACATAAAACAATGAAAGACTTGTGGTAAGTCAGTTGCCAAGCCTGGACTTTGGAAATGGACAAAAAGTAACACAAATGGATTAGTTCATAACAATGTTTAGGGTAATGAAGTCTAAAAAAATTGACGATGTGTCAACAAAAAAGTTTATTGAAACTATTACCTTTGAATGAATGAACTATGCAATGTGGTTAATACCAAACAAACACAAAAAATATGTTAGCAATAATAAACCACACAGGTTATAAAAAATTAGAACTATGATTAGTCCAAATCAAAAACAAATGTTAATAAAACTTTCTCAGCAATTGGAAAACTTAAATAATCTAATTTATAATTAATTCTGGGGCAAAATAATTCAGAACTAGATTATTTTTTACGGCAGTTCATTAATAACTCTGCTGGGAGACACCTGTTGCAATGTTAGGAATAGCATGTTGAGCCAATAAAAAAGATGCTAGACTTTAATTCCAATTACTTGAGATAATCGATCACAATGATCCTTTGTAGTTTGGACCATTCTCTTTGTTTGCTGATTGGATGATGGGTGTCATGGTGCAATTAAAAATGTGACAGATTCCATTCCTTTCCTGAGACTCTTGGAATTCTGATGATGTAAATCCTCTTCCATTATCTGATATCACTACATCAGGGATTCCATGTGTGCAGAAAAACTACCGCAATGCACTGATTGCACATTTGGAATTGGTTGATTTAACCTTGATTACTTCAAGCCACTTGGAATATGAGTCTACGACAATTAAGAACAAAGCTCCCTGGAAAGGACCAGCATGGTCAATATGAAGTCTTGACCAAGGTTTCTTTGGACTATTCCACAATATTACTGGTTTGGTGTACGTCTAGAGAGTGCTGAGTCCTACCATGTCCTATTATTTCTTCTTTTGGACTATTCTCAATATTACTGTTTTGGTGCATGTCTAGACTGCTGAGTCCTATCATGTCCTACTATTCCTTCTAATTGTTTGTCCATGCCTCGCCACCATACATAGCTGCATGCGAGAGCTTTAGTAGGAATAATTCTTTGGTGAGCATTGTGAAGTGAGGTCAATATGTGAGCCTGAGCTTTTTTTGGTACAACAACTCTGCACCCCCACAGTAAGCAGCCTCTGTGTGCTGAGAGTTCCAATTTCCTCTGAACAAATGGTGCAAACTCTCCATCTAGTTTTTTGTTGGCCTCCTTCTACATGTTGAGTTGAGAACTCGTGATAGTATAGGACTTCGAGCAGTCATATGGGTGATTCTTTGTCCTGTAGTGGTGGTTTATCTAGTGCTTCTAGAAGTAAAACTTCATTGGGTGACAATTCATCACTTGTACTGAATGGTTGAGGCAACCAACTAAGTCCATCTGCACGAGAAATTTATTTGCCTGATTTATAAACAAGATGGTAATTGTAAGAGCTTAGAGACCACCATTGCAATCTTGGTGTTAATATGGATGGTGTGGGTTTGTCACGAGACAAGAGACCAAATGATGGCTTGTGATCAGTATGAATTTCAAACTTGTGTCCATATAAGTAATTGTGGAATTTCTTAATACCTTGAATGATGGCAAGAGCTTCTTTGTTGATTTGTGCATATCTGCATTTGATTGTGTTCACTGTTCTAGAATAGTAAGCTACAGGTGCTTCAACTTTTTCTTCTAATTCATTACTCAACACAGCTCCAACCCAATATTGGGTAGCATCACAGGTGAGAATGATTGGCTTCCTTTCACCAAAATAAACCAGAAGTGCATCAGCTTTTTTTACTTTTTCAAAAGCTTTTCAATGACTTTGATTCCACTTCCATGGTGATCCCTTGTCAAGTAGGTGATTAGGGATCACCATGGAAGTGATAGAAGGGATTACCTCTTGAATCTGATATCCCAAAAATTCAAGAGGTTTGGCTACTGTCTTGCAGGAACACATGATAAAAATTCAACAGACCTAAAAATGTCTGAAGTGCTTCCATTTTCCTAGGTGTAGGTGTCTTCTGGATAGCTTTCACCTTGTCTTTGATAGGTCTGATCAATCTGATATTTGAAAATTTTAATGCAAGGGCTCCTATGATGCACTTATCCCAATTGATTCTCAGTTCTGCTTCAGAAAAAAGGACCTCCTGCAATTGTTCTGACATCTCCTCAAGTGTTGAACATTTAATCAGGATATCATCAAAATAGAGCAAGACTCCCAAAACACTTGCCAACAGCATTTCAATGAAACATTGGAATATTTCAGGAGTGGAAGATATTCTAAATTGCAAATGTTTGCACTTGAATGCCCACTGATGCATCACAATTATCTATGCAATAGCTGAAGCTTCATCAACAGCTAATTGTAGGTAAGCTGTGACAGATCAAGCTTGATAAAATGACAACTTCCAACAAGTTCTGCAAGAATTTGACTGATGGCTGAAACTGGATACAGATAGTGAGTGTACATTTTGAATTGAGTGTACATTTGTAATCTTCACGTAGCCTAACTTTACCATTAGATTTAAGGACAGGAACAACAGGCATAGTACACTCTGAATAATTTACTGGTTCAAGGACTCCTTAATCCTATAATCGTAACTGTTTTGAGTCTTGGCAAATGGCACATTTCTTGTCTTCAACTGGATTGGAGAAACCTTTGGATCAAGATGAAAATGTATAGGTGTACCTTTAAGTTATTTTTTGAAAAAGTCCAGAAACTCTTGAATGATATCTTCCAAGATTGAATGCTTTAACACTATGAATACCTGTTACTTTAATATCCAATGGTTCAAACCAGTTCAATCTCAGAAGCCCTTGACATCATTTGCTGCAATTAATAGAGGAAGGTCTACTTCAAATGAAGTGTATTTGACATTAACATGGTACTGCCCCAGGATTTCCACTGATTGTTTACTATAGTTTTTCACAGTATATGGGGATCTTTCTAGCTGTGGCAAGCCAACCAGATATAATTAATTAAACATGTTTTTGTTAATGATAGTAATCTTAGCTTCTGAGTCCACCTCCATGATATATGGCTCCATTAATGTATAGAGTTGTTTTTATCTCAGGGCACCCAACATTATATGCACAACCTTCAGGTGAAAGGTATCTAAGTCTTCTTTTTCCATGGTGTGAGTATTTTGATTCCAAGGGAATGTCCTTTGGGGTTTAGCCTACTTTGGCAGACTCTTTGAATATGCCTTTCCTTTTACAATGATGACATTCAGCATCCTTAAATTTACATTGAGTCCTTGAGTGATTGAATCACCTCTGCATTCTGAACATTTTTTTATGTGGTCTTTTTAAATTACCTTAAATCGTTGCCTTTGGCCTTGAGTCCGCAACATAACAGATGTTGAATCAGATCCTCTAATTTCTCTCACTTGCTGATTAGCCATTTCTGCAACCAGTGTCCTTTCTTGTGCTTGTACAAAACTAATTGATGTTTCAGCCAACAATCGACACTGTAGAGATTTGTCTTTCTAGCCAAACACTAATCTGTCCAGCAGCAATATATCCAGTGTACCATCAAAATTGCAATGTTCAGAGAGTTTCCTTAATTCTGCAATAAAATTGGTAACACTTTCTGTGGCATGCTGGTTCCTTCAATATAATAAAAATCTCTGAAATATTTCAGACAGCTTCAGCAAAAAAATGAGACATGACAGGTTGTATTAGCTTGTTGTATGATTTAGCTGCTGGATTGTTGGGCACTGTTAGAGAACAAATAATGGCATATGTCTTAGACACTCAAAAATACTGCCCTTTTTTTCTGAGGACCAGTAATATTTGCTTGAGAAAAACACACTAAATGTTTGTAGTATGAATCCCACATAGATGGTTCTGAGGCCTCATAAGATTCTAAAGTTCTGAGCATAACCATTTTAATAATAATGTTCCCTTTTAATAAATGCTGTACTGACAATTCTGAAGTATTGGTTTATGGAGCTGGTCAATGCTGTTAACTGGTGAGCAAGGCATTAATATTGAGTCAACAGATTTTTCAAAATTCCACCCTCATCACCATTGGTTGTGTTTGTCATAGTTTAATAATTCAGATGGCCATACTTAGATGCTGAGATACTCTATTACAGTTGGTCTTTGTTACAACTAGTCAGAGCAACAAGAACATAACACATCATCCCCGAGTCATAGGAACCGAATGACCATGTGCTTCCTGTGTTCGTACTGCTGTCTCCTCTCAGCTGCCTAAACATAGTCCAAAGTCCAATTACATAACAATTTTTTAACTGTAAAAGATTTAACAGGACTAATTAGGAGTTATGGATTTTGATAGAATAAAGTTTTTAAATCTTTTGACTAAAAATTCATCATCACTGAAAAGTAAGATACAACATCAAAAATACTTTAAAGACATTTTATTTCTAGTTGCACATATAATTGAAAATTTTAATTATAAATAGCCTAATATTTAAATAGCCTTAATACATGTTATAATTAAAATGTATAAAAATATTTTATTTTAGCTTCAAATCCAATGGATTCAAAAAGAAGAGCAGAAAGTTGGAAAAAGAACAGAAGGCAACTAGTGAGTTTTAATTTATATGTTGTTATGAATTTTGTTTTATTTATTTTACAAGCAATTGGAAATATCTAGCAGCAACAGCAGATATCCACCCCCTATTAACAAAAAACACCAATAAAAAGATAAAAATTAAAAAGAACTGGTACATTAAACAATAAGAAGTTAAAAATATAAATAATGTTGACATACAAATGATATGATAAACATGTAATAAGATTTTTTTTTTTTTTCCTTTTTATACAATTATATTATTAAATTACAAATTATTTAGAAAGCATTTATAAATATGCTTATAATGCTTAAAACTATAATGAAGACATTGTTTTATTCTGAAAATATTGTCAGCACACTGATTGGAGAAACATCTGCAAGTTATAGATGAACAATAAAAAGAGTGCATTGACATAATGTGCTCCTTGTTGTTTTAGTGGAAACCTTTAATTTTAGCCAATAATTATTTATTAGACCATTATAAAATTTAAAACTTAAGATATGATTAAAGTATTTAATTCTTTTATTAAGTGGAGGAAGGCCAAGTCTGATTCTGGCAATGTTGAGGTTATGAGTAATGAGCACAAGAGCAGATCTAGTTTGCACCAGAAGTCATGTTATTTCAATTCAAAAGTTTCCCCTAAAAGCAGTTAATAGATGATCAGCAGGACTCTATTGTTAAAGGAAAAATATGATATACAGGGGCAAGATACTATTAATTTGAGGTGGAGAGCACATATTTTAAATGAAATTAATTAAAAATATGATTAAAAATTGCATCCTAGCATTGTGACGATGTCACAATAAATAATCGCTCATTACTATTAGAAACAGGGCCTGTCTCACTTAGATTAAGGCAGATTGATGAAATTCATTTATGCATAATGTGTCCTATGAAGTTTATTATTAAAAAAATAAACACTTTAATTTATCATAAATGGTTTTCTCATTTTGCAAAGCTTTCACAGTCACCCTTGTATGTGGGTTTCTACTTGAATAGGTTTATATAGATTCTATTTTATGAACATGCAATTTTAAATTAATTCATCAACTTTACTAAATAATATTGAATAATTTATATTATTCAATTTTATTTGTATTTATATTATAAAATATAAACGCAAATATATATCGTGTTTATTCTAATAAACAGTGTGCTATCTACAAATTTTTTTTGGCTTGCTACTATGCTATTTATTAGTGTATGACTATTAATGGAATAAAACTAGTAATTTTTTCACTTTACTATTATTTCAACAACAATACAACACTGCATACTTGCACATTATTTTGACATATGGTAATAGTGACAACAGTGAATAGGATATACAGTTTATTGGTTTACAATAAGCTTCATCTTCCTCCAATAGATGGCATTATCTATGACTTTTTTCATCTTGCAGTTTTGCTGTTTATTAGAATAAATATGGTATTTAGAATTCTTTTATTTGATAAATTAATCACAGGATAAATTAATATATTTTTTTGTACATAATTGGTTATCCGAAAAATAAGTTATCCGAACAACCCCAGTCCCCAATTGATTCGGATAAACGATGCCCTACTGTATATAATTCAAAAGCAGTAAATTATTTATAATTAAAATATTTGAAATTTCAAAGTAATTAGAATTAAATAATAATCATATCATAATATAAATGTTTTTCTTTTTTTATATATATAGGCTTATTCAACTGTAGGTACACCAGATTATATAGCCCCTGAAGTTTTTATGCAAACAGGTTACAACAGTGCTTGTGATTGGTGGTCTTTAGGTGTTATTATGTATGAAATGCTTATTGGTAATTAACTTAATATATTGATTTTGTTTATTACAATAAAAAAGTTAAGTTAAAAATTAATTTAAAAGTTCATGTAAACATTTAAAACTTGTTTAAAATAGCATTATATCATATTGATATTAAATATTGAGGAAAAACATTTTCTTTACACAGAGATGATGTTTACTATTTAACATAATTTTTGTCAATCATATTCTAGGGATAAAATTTTCCATTCCTTCAAAAACTTCACTATTAGTGAATAAATTATTCACAATTAATTTTGATTATTCAATTAAGTTAATTAGTTTTAGATGTTTTGTTTTTATTAAAGAAATTTGCTATGAAAACAATTACAGTGATACCTCGCATTTCAAATGCTTCAAAATTCGAATGCAAAATTTGACAAAAATTTGCCTCAGAGTTCAAATTGTGCATGCAGTGAAAAACTGTGCTTGAAACATAAATACAAAATACAATTTTGTGTGTCCAAGTCATCTCTCACTCTCACGTAATTCTTATATGTCCGTTTGTGCCATTAGAACCTTTTCTAATATCATATCTGTGCTCTTTTATCCTTACACCTAGGTTTCTAGTAGTAACCCCAACATATTCCTTATTTATTCCTAATATCTGATTCTCGTATGGGATCTTATATACACCCGACATATCTTCTTTTTTAACCTCCCCTTTATCATTTCTAAGTATTCTGTACAAATTCGGAGCTCTTTTTAAGACCATCCTTGTATGTTTTATATTTGCGATTTCTTTCATAATGCTTCCTAAGTGCTTGTTGTACATAAATTTTGTGTATGTAGGTGGACCTCAAACAGATACTATATCTGTACGAACTTCTAATTTATTGATCTGTACCATTTATAACATTCCTCTTGTAGCCACCTTCTGCTACCTGCATGATTCTTTCTATTTCTGCATCCCTGTCTATTATACTTTTGCAGTATAAAAAAGCCCTCCTAACTAATGCTCGAAATGCTGCCAATTTATATTTATAAGGATCATTGGAGCTTGCAGGTATATATAGTGGACTATGCATTGGTTCAATAAATACCCTGGTAGATATACGTCCCTCTCTAAATATAATATTAATGTCCAGAAAATGTACCATAACAGAGCTTTTTTGCTCTAGTTTTAAGCTAATGCCTATTACTGGGGTATTTATTAAACCAATGCATAGTCCACTATACATACCTGCAAGATCCAATGATCCTTATATGCAGTACTGTAAATTAAAACTAATAAAGGATAATTTAAAATAAAAAAGTTATATTTTTGTTTCTCTCATATTAAATTAAAAATTCCAAAAGTCATTAAATTGCATTCTCAGAAGTTTTGTGAGATTGACAAATAGTTTCATTGTTATTGAATGGAGCAATTGATGTATTTGATGTAGAGTTTTTGATTGATTTTAGAGAGTTTATTTTATTGATGTAGAGTTAAAGTGTAAAAATTACATGCAAATGCCATAATATTTATCATAATGCTAGAAAAAGTACTATTTCCAGGGTGGCCAAGCTCCTTGATAGTCCGAGCCATTTTTTCACAAAAATAAAAAGGGAACTCGGGTACATTTATCGAGAGCCACAAATAATCCTTCAAAGAGCCGCATGTGGCTCCCGAGCTGCAGGTTGGCCACCCCTGTACTATTTAAACAAGTTTATATTTTCATTTTTCTTTGTTTCAAAATTGAGTTTCTGTCTGTTGTCTATGTTAATACATTAGCAAAATATTTTAGGATTAAAAATAAAAAATTGTAACAACAGTTTTCTTGATGAAGTGAAAATTTTTTGTTTTGTAAATTTAATAACTAAAGACAAGTAATAATGAAAGCTGTAATTTAGCTGGCTAGTTTTAAGGTAAACTAAAATTAATGATTATAATGAAATTTAACAATAAAGATAGATAATCCCACTGTTTATTGGTACACCCAACACCTGTATAACCATTTCTATTCATTACCACAGTATCGATTTGTAAAATTCATACTGATATTGTACAACTTCTTTACTTTGTCTTCCTACAATTTGTCAAGCGGTTTTATCATTTGTAAATTATATTTTCATATAAAAAATTGTATATATATTTCTCAGCTATGTATAATACGGTACTGGAAATGCACCTGCAAGGTGCCTAATAAAGAATAAGTAAGTAAGTTCTATAAGCTTTAGCTTATAGAATTGTAAACGGAAAACAGAATCGGTCGAGGTGTTAATTTATAGCAAAAAACGTTAAACTTTATCTCGTACGGGCCCACCGGTGGCCGAGTGGATAAAACCTCAGGACGACGGGTCGCCCACGTGGAGTTTTTCGGGTTTTCTTCAAGTCAGCAAAACCAAAATAGGGGCCATTTTCTCATAAAAGCCTCCCGGGAGGCATTTTTCCTTCGGCAGATGACCCACGTGTCCTGTTGCCTTAATTGAATAAAACTAAATTTTATCTCGTACGGACGTTTTTGGTTTGGCACATGCAGCATTGGCGATACGCTCTTCTTCGACCAGGCAACCGTCGATACCGTAAACGTTTTTATCATAACTAAACAATTGTAAAAGAGCGCGCCTCTTTCTGTGCCGCCCCCTCACCGCCATTTCCTCGACAGATGTTTTTTGGGCGACGGCTCAGTTGCCTCACATCTCAGGTTTGACGCCTGTCGATTCGCTTTTTTCCGGTTTAGTGTTTATTGCAACCTTTCCGCAAAAAACTCGAATCGGCGTGGCAGTTGCCAAAGCGCCGCAGTTTGGCGAGAAATAGAATTGGTCCTCCGTATCCTTGGTGGCACCGGCACGGAGCAGTAACGACCATTCGAGGTAAAACTTGCTACAAATGAATGCCTCCAGACATTTTGTAAGTCTTCTCGTTACAGCTAGGCACTTCAAATCTGGAATTACGCCGCGTGTTATGTTAGACAATTACAGAAATAGTAAATTATATATCAAACTAATAATAAAACTAACAGCAGGTGCATTAAGTATCGTGGAAAGGTAATTGCATTCAATTATTTTCTTATGTACGAAGTTTCAAAAACGTATGGAAAATGACTTCAGAGCGAAGTTTTCGATCCGCCAAATTACGGAATCCCGTTCTAACCGATTTAGTTATTCAGAAATTTCTATATATAAGACAAAAGAATTTAAAAAGTATATATACTGAATTTGTAACGTGAATAAAATGGAAAAAATATTTTTTGCGGAATTTTCATAAGTGCATAAAAGTTTGAGAATAGAAGAAAATAATAACTGTTTAGTTATCTTTAGATTTACATATCGTAGAATAAATACAAGACCGCTCATTGTAATTAATTTTTTAAAACAAATGAAAAATAATTTTATTTTTATCTGCTTTAGGATATCCTCCGTTCTGTTCGGAAACTCCTCAGGAAACATATAGAAAAGTCATGAATTGGAGAGAGACGTTAATCTTTCCACCAGAAGTGCCAATATCTAACGAAGCCAGAGATTTAATACAGAGATTTTCTTGTGAATCAGAAAAGCGCATAGGAGCTAACGGTGGCGTGGAGGAAATAAAACAACATCCGTTTTTTAAGGGCGTCGATTGGGAACACATTAGGTATACTTTTCAATTTTTCGGAAGGAGTCGGTTTCGACGAAAACGAAACGATCGCTTAAAATGTGCATTTAACGATATTTTAGGGAGAGGCCGGCGGCCATTCCGGTGGAAGTGAAAAGCATCGACGACACTTCGAATTTCGACGAGTTTCCGGACGTCGATTTAAAAATTCGTAAGTCTAAATTACGTTTATACTCTAATTCGGCGTCCCCTCACCGCTAAAACGTCCGAAAAAATGTAGGCACCACAAGTTACGTAGGCCTAAATGCTTAAACCCGGGCGGGCGTTACCCACACGCCGGCAAGTTAGCCGGTCAGGTGGAAAGCTTAATTTGGTGCCCGCGGACTACGGGTCGAGAAACTCCGCCCTAATTTGTCAGTCATCTTCTGTTCGCAATAGTTGGGATGGCCATTAGAAATCAAGGTGCAATTTCAACTCGACGCGTTGTAAATTATGCCGCCGCGTTGCTACCAAACAGAATTTTTTATTCACCGTATCGTTCCCCCGAACGTAAAACCGCGGCCAGGCAATTTCCCAATCCTTAACACTTTTCGTTCCGTAGAAAGCCCAGAGAGGCCATTTTCGGACTAATTTTTCTTTAAAATACGGTGCCATCTGCATTATCATTTTACATCTGAAGAGATTTCAGATTTTTTGGCGCAAAATGCAAATTAAAAAACAAATGGAATTTCAAATATATTTTTTTCGTGGAAATACGTTAGAAGTGTTTCCGTTTTACCTGTTAATACTTTCACTGGCCATTTATTCTGCGTATATCCGGTTTATTCCCGGTGGGGAGGCTGGTGATGTCCGCGGAATGGAAGGACGGAACCGCCATTTCCGGCTTTTCTAAATTAATATAATTACGGATAAGTCTGTTTGTCGAACTTTCGACCGATGGCAACGCCTTCCGTTAATCATTTATCGGACGAATTTCTTAGAGGAGGTCTCGATCCGCCAATTTCTTCCTTAGGCGCCACCCGTAGGAAAAACAAGCGTCTAGATTCGACCACCAACCCACTTTGAGATTTAAAAAAATCTAGTGCCCCATATTTTTAACTTACCTTTTTACATTACCATCTATTGCATATCTTAAAAACAGTTATTGCAAATATAATGTTTAAACATACATTATTATATGGATAGGATAGATAGGGTGTGACACATATCCTATTTCTAAGATCAAAGAATGTTTCAGTGAGAAGAAATAAAACTCATATTTAATCACAGATCCTTCTACTGCTCCTTCTGAAAGCCTCCAGCGCCCACAAGGGGGCTTATTGCCCACTTTGAGAAACGCTGGTATAAACCCTGAACCGAGTATTAGTTGTAAATTATGCCGCCGCGGCAAACAGCGCCATTAGCCGGAACGTTTTGTCGTATTTTCTGGTCACGATTACAAATTACAAATGCTTTATTTCTAATTACTATTAGTTTAAAATGAAAATAAGTTAAATTTTTACATATGGGCCACTTTACTTATAAATGAATGATTTCTCTATAAAAAAAATACGATAATGCCTAGAACGGAATAGTCTTACGATTATAAGGTAGAATTACAAATAAAATAGAATATAAGGCGACTTAAAAGTCGATATTCTTTCACTCTATAAATGCTTCTGGAAATCTTTTCTGGCTACGAACTTCTACAATTCCAAAGTTACGTCAGATCTGCAAACAAGGAATCATAATACGGATAAACCTCCATTAACGGACACTTCCGAATAACGGATAACTCTACTTAACCGGAATTTTTACAATCCCCAAACCCTTCGAATAGGGTATCTATTATATTTACCTCTAAATAGCGGACTCTGTCGTCCATAACCAACCTTAAGTCGTCACTCCTCGCAATTTCCAGCCGCGCAGATAACTGCAACCTGAACGACTGTTTCTGTTAACTAGTAAACCCCCTTCAGTCGTGGTCACACTTGTTGATTTTCAGCCGCGCAGGTGACGAAACTGCAATAAGCGCGTCTTGTCATGGTCCCATTGTTCGTTGGCGTTGCAACTCGGAAACACGTGATCTCAATAAACCAATAAAATTACAGTCGCTTGTTTTTGACTACTTTCGTTAGTTAACCGACACGTTCCACTTCAGAGTATTTACGGAATTTTAGCCACTTTTCTTATTAAAATGGCAATCAGTTCCTTTTCTGCAATGAATAAAAGAAAAAGGCGATCATTTTGTTACTGCTGACGAGAATACACGAAGAGATGAAATCTTCGATAAAACGAAGAATTAAAATCCCACAGCCATCCATGAGCCTGAATGACCTCGATTCTGTAAAACTACCAATCCTCTTATTTTCAGCCAAGATGATGATCTATTTTCAATGTTGCCACCGTTTGACGTGGCACAAAGGCGTTTGCTGATTGGATGCACGTTTGCAATTGGCGCGAGTAGAACAAACTTTTTGTTTCTAATTGCTGTTACAGTCGCGTCGGTTTTCGAAGGGGTTTACTAGTTAACGAGAACAGACGTCTCGGTCGCAGTTGCATGCGCGTCTGGAAATCGCATAGTGTGACCAGGGCTTAATTTTATGTTGTGAAAGTTCAAAGGTCGTGTTACGAAGGAGATTTGCCGGCCACTTTAAAGTTGAGAAGAAATTCGGTACTCTGGCATTTATGATCTTAGCTTTTCGGTGGCATTGCAAAAAAGCAAAAATGTTCGAAAAATTGATCGCTTAGACCGTAAATGATACTATAAATGTAAGAATGGTGAACACATTTCCCGCCCGCGGAAGTAGCTAGCAAATCGCCATCGTAACTCGACATTCGAACTTTGCCTAAACCCACCTTCGTCCACCCTTCTGTTCGTAACAAGTTTCATTTTTCTTTGTCGTTTTTCTGCCCGCCTCGTTTTTTGATGAATTAATAATTTATCAATGCACGAATATTTACGTTTTGTCGTAATTTTTGTGCGCTATTTAAAATGTTCCGTCCAATCCGTTTACTATTTAGAATTCAGTTAAAATGAGATACATCAAAATTAAAAAACTGTTCTTTTTTTGATACGTAGTTAAACACGATCTGCACTTAAATACTACAATATTTTTCTCACTGCCGCTGTCGTCCTTTATGTGTTGGCTTGCCTTAACACACCCGTTTAAACCTTGCCAATGACTATATCTTAAACCAAACTCGCTACATTCCATCATATGTAATGTATAACGAGTTCCTCGACGTTGACGGTATTATGAACAGTGGGTACATTACAGTTTGCACTAGCCTCAGTCATAATCGATGTATCTGTGAACGGTTTAACAAGCTTTCACTGGAACGTCTTGCAATTTGACAAGGTGGCGGAAGCAAACATCGCTATATTGGCATTTGCAGACTCGTTTTGTCAAAATAATTTTGGATTAATATAGATGAATAGTAAAAATGACGATGATAGTGAAATATTTTCATTAGTTGCTACTGTTGCTAAGATGAAGCCTAAAAGAACTCTTTATACAAAAACGACAACGTTTCCTACTGCATTTTCAAGCGTAATCTTCTACCTACGCTTGAAAATGCAACGTACCCAGTGTTTCAATTACACATAATAAAAAATTTTTAATCATGTCAAATAATCTTATATTTAATTGCAACGTATGGGATTAAATAATAATACACGGTAACCACCTTATTCGATTTTTATGATTATTTTATAAAGTCACTAAGTATAATCACGGAGGCGGCCATATTGCTCCATCGGAGTTCACGGTATCCACAACTGGACTATTGGCTTGCTCATGGGTGAATATCGGAAGACGTTTTTGTACGTGGCGGTTGACCGAAGCGCTGTTTGATGCATACGGGAATGTACCCGAGGATAAACGCGCCAGTTGGGGCGAAAATGCCGACGTTGCGTACGCATCACAGTGCGGAAGAAATTACATTAATGCTCGTGGGGTCTAGATGTTTGCGTGGGAAAACGCCGCTTAGGGAATTACGGAAAATGTTGTATAAATGCGCGTGAAATAATTTTTAAATGTTTGAAATTTTCCTTTAGAAATGGAATACTGACGATTTTTTTTACTATTTGTACGATACAGCCGCAGCACCAGTACCGGCCAAGGACGGCGATCCCGGATACAAAGACTGGGTATTTATTAATTATACTTTCAAGAGATTCGAGGGACTGACTCAAAGAGGAGCGAAATTGACGAAGAGAAGTTAATGGAACGGATCTTAACCCGTGTTTAGACTGTGATGTTCTGCCAGATGCCACGTTGCCTCTAACTCGGTGCAATCTTTGGTTGGTCGACGGCTCGCCCTTAAGTGCAAATCCTCTGTAGTCTCCCGCGTCGTCACCGGTCGACAGCGGCTTTCTTTCGTCGCCTCGCAAGTAGAAAGTCTGCAGAATTTAGACGTAAAACAAAATTAGCGCCCCTACCAGGTTTGTAGGCGCTGTAAATAGAACGGGCACCGACACGTGATAACCGCGCACCTTGCACTCGTCGGGCTCCGCTAAATTATTTTGTGTTCCCGGCCGACACCGGTTAGCTTATAGCGGTTCGTGATCTCAATTTCCAATAAGTGATACGTCGTTAGCCTTTTTATTTCATCGGTTTGTATTACGAGTAATTTAACTTTTCTTTTAATCGAAATAAGCAGCAAAACTGTTTAAAATACCAATAATTTAAGTCGTGTTTTGTAAGTTAATAATTTATTCCAAGGTAGAATTTTAATGGGATTTTCGCCGGGTGGCAAAAATCCACGCCAAATTTTGTCGACGACTTTGGGTTCATACTTAAGTTTGCTTGGCGGGGAAATCGTAATCTAAGAACGAAAAGAAAAAGTTCGTTTTAGTACAGTTTCTCGTTGCCGAGAAACTTCAATCGTGGTAAAAAGTTATTCTAATTTGGAAAGTAATTTATTATCGTCAGTTTCCATCGGAACGTTAATAATTCTGTTTAGAAACTTTTTTTTTTCGATAGATTTTTCGTGCGTCTCGTTTTTCCCGGGGCTAAATTCCGCCGTTACGCTAGAACCATTGTAAATGAAATTAATTTATTTATAGCGTACGTCACTATTAGGGACCGTAGTGGAAATACGACACGGAAAATGCGTAACGAGAAAGAACGTAATAATTGTTAATTTTATTTTCTAAATATATACGTACGAAGAAGAACGTAGGTATATAGGTGGAAAATATCATTATAATTCCAACGGAAGCCACGGTAAGAGAACTATTATTATTGAAAGAAAGCTCGAAGCTTTAAGAATTGTATTTAAAAAGTAAATAAATAAAAAATATATAATTTGTTAATATAAAAATTATTTGCCGTTTCCGTGCGATTTAATCTGGAAAACGTGTAAAAAATTACGGCTCGGAGACGTTCGAGATAAAATCCGGAACTAAAAGCTTAATTACGTGGGAAAACCGCGTTCTTTCCAAAAGTCGTCTTCCACCGTGGGACAAAAGGAGAAAAAAGAAATTACGCCAAAGCCGTAGACACGTTTCCTGCCGGGGACCGCTTTTTGCACTTACCTTTTCCCGGGAGGAGAAACGGCGGGATATAGTTCGTGCCGAAAGGAGTCGACGGTTTGTAATTCCTAAGACCGATGGAAAGACAGGTAGGACCGAAATGGCAGGGCCTTCCTGCGCTGCGGGTCTCCTAATCCGGTCGAATATCTCGATGACTACTAGACCCGAATCGGATAAAAGCTGATGTAAAAATCAGCAATTATTTATTGTGACGTGGTCACAGTGCCGGGCTGCAATTTTTAATCATATTTTTTAAATTTATTTCGTTTAAAATGTATACTCTCCACCTCAAATTAGTAGTGGCTTTACCACGTACAGTACAGTACATCATAGTCTTTCCTATTATCAATACAGTCGTGCTGGTCGTCTATTTAACAATTTCGGGAGAAATGTTTGAATTGAAATAATATGACTTCCGGTTCCGAAAGTTTGTATATCCTCCTATCCCTAAGCATTCCTATTCTGGTCTCGTCTTTCGTCTAACTCCGTTCTCGAGATTAAGGAAGAACAAACGACAGTGAGAATTTATAGGTCTATAATTCTGTCAAATTGAAGCCCAACTAACCCGCCGTTCGAAGCCAAAGAAAGTAGCCGCCGTCACCACGAGGCGAGAGATCCAGTTCTACTTCTGGAACTGTTAAGCTAGACGGGGAATTGCTAAATCTGTTGGACTAGACCAGCGGTCGGCAACCGGTGGTCCGTTGACCATTGATGGTCCGCGAGACATTGATCAACTGAAGGTTACGCAAAGTAGTACGAAAGAATTACAAAATGCTTAGCTGCTTTTTCCACTCATTGGGGGGTTTTTTATTCGAATCTAAAACCAAATACGAAGTGACTGTTATCAATAAATAATGAACAATAAACAATATTGTGAGTGCGATTGTCCTCTTCCGTGCAAAAGTGCTAAGAATCCATAAACTTATTTCAAACAAGCAGGAATGAACTTGTAGGAACTAGACTTTCATTAATTTGTTATAATTAAACAAGCGAGTTTCATAATATAGTAAAATTGAACTTTTATGATCATTATTCTACAGATTTTGTATCGTTTAAAAAATTCATGATAGTGGTCCGTGGGATTCAAAATTGTGTTTGGTGGTCCGTGAGGTCAGAAAGGTTGCAGACCACTGGACTGAACGGTCCCTCGTTTGTTTTATATAGGCTATAAAACGTTTTTCTCTTTATTCTTTGTTTTTCGCTAGATCTGCTCCAAATAATTCTTGTTTGTTATCTGAGGTAAATAGAATATCACGAAATCCGGACTCCTTATCCCTCTCCAGATTTCATCCCCTAAACTTTTGACCGGTCCGCACAAAATTTTTTCTACTTATTCTCTGAGACTCTGGGGAAAATAAAGACTTTCACGAAATCCGAACACCAACTATGAGAAATTTTAAATATAACTCCTCCCAATTTGATCTCGACACTTCACGATAAAAATATCCAATTTTGTAATATGGTTTCATTTTAACGTTTAGCCATTTTCTTGTTTGGACGGACAATGCCGGATATATCTGTTGGATATTAATAAAACAAATAATTAGGAACTCTAATAAAAATTTAAATGTAAAACATATCTTTGTCAATTTAAAATACTCTAAACTAATTTGATTATTCCTAAAAACCCGTGGAACATTTTCATTAATTCAAGTTCAAATCGAGATAAAGAATTCGCCGTTCAGTGGAAAACTATTCGTGAAGAACTCGTTCGTAATTCCGAGCGGAACGTCTCGACACTCGATGTGGAGTTCCGAATCAGGAACCAACCGGAAGTAGCTACCACAGTCTAAGGCAGCAAGTGCGTATGTTGTGGACAGATTGTTGTGTGCTGACTTACGTAATCGTTATTTGTTTGGACTAGAGTGAGCGGGAATTGCCAATGACTCGCATACCTATTATGTAGGCAGGGTATAAAAAAGGATTTGGTATCACGCACAGATCAGATAGAAACAGATGGTCGACTCCCTATACTTCGTATGTTAACGAAAGTCGACGACGGGACTACCGATTCGGACGTTAGTGGTGCAGAGATCTCAATGCCTCATCAGACGGATGGTGAAGAACTCGTTCACAACACGACACACACAGTCACAACACGAATCGTCGATGACGTTGCTATTTAAATTAATTTCAATGCGCATGCGTAAAAGTTACAGTAGAACCTCGATTATCCGCCCTAATTGGGGACTGGGGTTGGTCGGATAATTGAAAAGTCGGATAACCGAAAAGTATGAAAAAATCCATTATTAGTGTAGTATATTATTATATCCCATGTAATTAGTATATTAGTATATCGCTATTAACCTATTTTGCGTTGAATTTTCATCGATGTTAAGCCTAACAAAAATTTTTTAAAATAATAATCGTCGCTATTGTATCGTTAAAAATTAGAAAATTAAGCTTCGTTTAAATACTGGCTCCCTTTCATGGTCGAATGAGTGTTGCCAGCTAAAACACGTAAAAATAATATTAAAGTAGCCAAGACATAGCCAAATATTGTAGCGCCACATCACTAGCGGACATTTGAAATTTGCCGACTAGGACGGTCGGTTGATCGGGGGTCGGATAATCGAGGTTCTACTGTACTATTTTCGTGTTAAAGACGCTTAAGTTAAATTATACAACAAAAAGTTAATAAAAAAGTTATATTTAAAATTTCTCATAGTTGGTGTTCGGGTTTATATTTAACATATTAATTAAATACAAGAACAGTTTTATGACTATAAAATATGCAGAGAATATTCAGTTTAATTAAATCTTAATATAACATATACAAAAATCATGTTTACATATCTATTAAATCATCATTAGGTTCTCGTTATCGTAAATATTTTAGAAATTATTATTTTACTAAATAATATAAATTTCCTTTGGTTCCGAGTGCAGTGACAATCAAATGAAACTTTTCTCATTTCCATTTGAAGGAACTTTTACTGTTAAAAATCATCATCTATAGACTTCTAATTTAACACGTTCTGTAGTCTTTGATTATTAGCCTTAGAATTCGTTAAAGTTTTTTTAAATCCTATGATATAATTTATTTTAAGATATATTTTTATTAGGATGTCTTATTTTATGTTTGTTCGTTATGAATATTAAACTAGTCGGCCTCTACTTTTTTAACAGATAATTTTTTATTTGGTTTTCATGTTTCCAATATGGGAGTAAAATATATATATGTAAGTACTTATTAAATGAATTAAATTATTTGATGGATATGCCAATAGTTGAGTATTACCATATTCCTTAAACCGGGTTAATATAGAATGTTCCACTAAATCATTTGTTGTCAAGAGTAAAGCTTAGTTCACACTGAGCAAATGAGAAAAGCGATTTTTATTCGCTTAGCGAAATTGACCCATACAACCAAAAGCGAAAAGCAAATGCCAATTTTAAGCAGCCAATCATTTGCAAGCGAGAGTAAACGTTATGTCGAAAAACAAAATGGCTGCTTCCGATATTCTGTCCTTAACAACTTTTGTTTATTTATTAAGGGAAAAAATACGTCAAAAGGAAAACGATTTGGGTGAGATGAATATTTAAAAAAAAACATGAATTACAACTACTGTACTGCGTGATAAAGTTTCTGTAGCCGTCTTGAAAACAACAAGAATCACGTGACAACTAGCGGGAATACGATTGTTAGCGAAAAAGCTCAATACTGTAGTTCCGAACTTCGAAGCGATTCGCGAAGTGGTAAAATTCGCCGAAAACATGTCTGACGTGTTATTCGCTCTGTTTTTTGCTTTCTCCAGCGAATCGCGCTCAGTGTGAACTAATCTTAACTAGCATTGTGTACAATTATCTAAGGCTGAAAGCACCTCTTTTGCCAAATATCCAGCAAGATAAGTTGTGGCATTTTGTCAGTCAGATTGATGTCAGTATCGTCATACGAAGGCAAATGATCTGAATCGTCAATAGGTGAAATATCATCAATGAAAAGCGTGGATAGAGAAGATGAGTTTTAAATAAATCTTAAAATTAATAAAGAATTATAGGAATGCCGTTTTTCTGTATATTCCCATTTACCTAATTTATGTTTATAATATATTTCTTAAAATTGTTTCTAACCGATTTCAAAAGATAAGATGGATCATACAAAGTAAATATTTTTTCCTGATTGTGATAAAAATATGAACGATACTTTTCCAACCACTTAAAAGGGGGTTTTTTGGACGAATAAAGTAAATTGTTATGTCCTTCAAACGATCTTTTGATACATTATATTCTTCATATAATCCTTGATTTGTAGAGCTTTGGTCACACATTAAACGAATAACAGTAAATCTAGCCTCTGTCACTAAATCTACAGCCTCTTCAACTAAACACTTAAAAACAGATAGAGAAAAAGTTTTGCCTGTTAAAAAAACTTTAAATGATTGTTTTCATTTTTTCCATAAACCTTTCATCATAAAAACTAATGCGTGTCGTGCCAAAACATTCGAATATGTTTCAGATTTAGCCTCATAATTTGT